GCTTTTTAAGTTTTTATTGATTGGACAAAGAGTGATGGATGACTGACCGAGGCCCATTGATGACAAAGGCTGAAGTTTAGGCTATGGTAAATCTTATGTCGAATTGTGCTTTCAAATTGTCCACAAATTAAGTCTTTAAACATTAAAATTCTAGATGACTTTGTTTGTTTTTAATAGGTGCATTGGAAATTTTAAATGTTATGTACGAAATATCAACAAGTCTTAAATTTTTCAATTGATTTAATTAAGTCATAATTTTTTTCTTAACCCGAATTACCCTAATTCTTCATAATAAATTAATACCGACACACAAATTTATGTTAATATTTTCATAACTTATAGAAATCTATATAATATTTTTGAGCTCTAGGAGAAAGTAAAAAGTTGACTATTTTTCATTTTTGAAGAGCATAACTGCATGTATAACAAGCCTCTTCTTTTTTGCTACTTATTATTATTAGACCTAAGCAAGTTCTTAAAAAGTTTCATCCGAACATTCGAGATGTAAAACACAAAAAGGTATTCCCTTTTCTAAGGGAAGATCGTCGTCGGGACGAAAACATGGGAGGCTTGAGGGGGTCCGGCCGACGGGACGAAAACAGGCCTACATGAGAAAGCCCGAAATGGTTTTACTCTCTACCTCTTAAGGCAATGATCCCTAGGGTTAACAGTAACCTAAGACCTTAGGGTTAGTCATGGCCACGGTTCGGAACCGGTGGTTCCGGTTCGTGGCCATGTGTGAACCGGAACCGCCCCTAGCGGTTCCGGTTCCAAACCGGCCGGTTCTGGTTCGTATTTAAAAATTAAAAAAATAAATTGTGAAATAAAAAAATAATGAATTATAAAAATATGAAATAATGAATTATTCAATATGAATTATAGAACCGGGAACCGAACCGGTAAGACCGGTCCTTTAATTTTAGAACTAGGAACCGGACCGGCAAATCATAGAACCGGGAATCGGACCATTGGTCCGGTCCGGTTCTAGGCGGTCCAATGGAACCCTTTGCTCTTAACTAGCAAAGGATCGTAGCCACAAAAGGCATACAACTTCACATGCTCATGGCTTGGCTTGGGTTTTATAAACAACCCCGTCTCTTCATTCCCATTCGATGTGGGACTCTTGGCATTTGCATGAAGACAAGCCAAGAGTCTCACGTTGAAGGTGTTCAAGGCAAGCCGAGAGTCCCACATCGAATGAGAATGAAGAGACCATCAAAGGGATTGTTTATAAAACTCAAGCCAAGCTTTGTAATTAGAGTTCAATACACTCAAGCTAAGCATTGTAATTGGAGATCAATGCACTTACAATGCATGGCAATTAGAGTTCAATTTATTTTATAAAAAAAATAATTTGGAACCGGAACCGGAACCGCCGGTTCCGGTTCAAAAATTTTGGAATCGGAACCGGGCCCGTAGACCACGGACCGGTTCCGGTTCCGAACCGCGGGCCCGGGTTTGACCGGGCTTGTTCCGGGCCGGTTCCGAGCCAAAACCGGCCCGTGGCCATGACTACTTAGGGTGAGCATCCCCATGCGAGAGTGATGGATGACTGACTGACCAAGGGCTATTGGTGACATAGGCTGCACTATGAAGTTTAGGCTATGTTGGGGGCAACCTAAAGAAAAAAGTTTAAGGGTGTGTTCGTTTTGCGAAAAATAGGTAATTTGAAAAATATTTTTCGAAAAATGATCACTTATATCGTTTAGAAAAAGAAATGAATAGAAAAAATTTTCATCACCAACGAAAATAGTTAGGCATAGATTGTTATCAATGATGAAAATATTTTCCGTTGACTAATTTTTCTAAATGATATAAACAATCATTTTTCAGAAAATATTTTTCAGATCATTCATTTTTCATGAAACGAAAACACCCTAAATGTGTTTCAAATTGTCATCGTATTAAAGAATTAAATTAAAATTTTAAGCACTAAAGCCCTAAATGACCTTTTTTCTACAAAACTCAACAAAACTTAAAAGATGATAGTGATATGTTTTCTAAAATATGAGGTGTTCGACAGTAACAAGTCATTTTCTGACGTTTACCCAAATACAAGTAATGAAACCAAAGTGCACAAGTCATTTTAACATTTTAAAGTGTGTTTGTTTCATAGAAAACTTCATAACAGGGGAAAATATTTTTTATGAAAATTAATTTTAAGAAATGACTAGTTTTCAGTTGTTTGTTAGTGTACTTGAAAGTGAGACGGAAAACGTTTTTTTATGTTTAGATTTTACTTTCAAAGATTATTCTCTCCATTATAATTATATTTTGTTTTTTATGTAAGATATTAAGATGATATCAAAATTCTTATCTAAGATATCACTAATACATGAAGTATAAATTTTAAGTTATTTTATTATCAAAATAAAGCAACCTTAAAAAGGGACGTAAAAAAAATAAAATGCAATAATTAACGAACTTAATTTCTTAGTGGTCAAAAAACTTCACTGAGAATGGTGCTCCATTTTGTGTGAGTGTGCGTGTGGAAAAGGAGCTAAGGAAAATGCTTTCTTTTTCTTTAGGATGGCGAATCATTTTCTTCAACTTTAACTACGGTTGTTTTGTGAAATACTTTCGATTAGATATCCACTTTTAGCAAATCATATACATAAAAGTTTGAGAAATTATTTTCATAAAAACAAGCACACCCATAGCTTCAAACTTGTAATCTTTCATGATTATGATCTATCATATAACTTACAATTGGCTATGACTAGTTACAGTTTTAGCACCGAAAAAATCTCAAATTTTTGATATTTTCATATAAAGTCACTCAATATGTCTTTTTGGAAAATAGAAAAGTTTTGAGCTAAAATTGGTCGAATACAAGCTGCAAATAAAAAAAAACCAGATAATCGACTTCTGATATTTAGAGTTTCATGCCTAGTTTATCAAAGTACAGAAAAATAGAAAGCTAATGTCTTGCCAGTAGGGGTGAGCTCCAGTCCAAGATAAACCCTAGAACCACACCAAACCAACACTGTGTAGTCCGGTCCACTTCTCGCAGGAAACAATCTAGTCCTCACTTCCAAAAATTGGGAACCGGCATTGTGCAATCCAGTTCTAGGATAACCCTGGATTGAACCCATTTTAATTATGTTTGTTGTTTATTTTATTTTTCAAATGGTTAAAATTTGAAGCAATTTTTTATGGATAAATGAGGAACGGAGTTTCATAATTCATGTTTATGTTACATGTTATTTTACGTGTTCATCTTTCATGGGTTGTTACTCTTGGCAAATGGAGATTTCTACTGTTGCTTTAGGTTTTTTATTGCTTAACTAAGGGATGAGTTGGATAATTCCCTATTGCTTTAGATTTCTGTTTGGCTTTTACCGGTATTTTACTTTTCGCCGTTTTGTTGCTAAATATCGCGGTTTTAAATATTGTGTCATTAGATATGGAGTTTGAAAGCATAAGTTTATCCTTTCAAGGAACACATAACAATGAAATAAATAAAAGAAGAAGAGGAAGAAGAAGAAGAATCAGCCGGTTCCCTTGGATTGAACCTAGAATCATATCGGATCAGTAGGCTTAGTTCTAGGGTTTACAGGGTTGGTTTTAGGTTCCAAAATCTGGAAATAGACCTTGTATAGATAGGTTCCATGTTCCAAGGTTAGACCACTCATCCCTAAAACCGCTCACTCATACTTGCCAAGTTTAAATATGAATACAAACCAATTGTTATTCTCTTTCCTCCTTTGATACGTAATCGTGACAGAATTTCAATTCAATATGTTTTGGCCATAATTCAAAGTCACCATTTTTTTTTTTTTGAAAAAAGTCACTAGTTTCAAAATCCACCACTTCTTCTCATGCCCTTCCAATCAAATTAAACATAGGAAAGACAAAACTTCGAACGTTGCCGGGTCTTCATCGAAAGCTTCTTGAAAACGGGCATGGAGGTCGTTGTAGAGTGGTGAGTCTGGTGTTCGATCCCCGGCAACGGCGTTTCTTTCACTCTTTCGTTTTAGTTTTCTTAATTCGCTTTGGTTTCTTTCACTCCATTGCCTTTGATTTCCATTCGTACAGTACACCTTCCAGATCTTGATATCTCAGATTGTTGACATTTGAATAACCCTTTTGTTCCTCATCTCATCTCAGGCACAATACATATTATAATCTGGTGTGGATCGTGCCACGCATATTTTAATCTGGTGTGGATCGTGACATGCATATTTTAATCTGGTGTGGATCGTTGCAAGTATGGTGGACATTCAAAGCAGATTATATTTTGGCAGAAAGTTGCATGAGTTCTTTAATTTGTGTTTAGAGTTTACTTCTACTTTTTCTCGTTCTGTTTCTTTTCCTGTTTTTCTAGAGTTTGAAACTTGACTTGCATTTGATGTTATACGCCAAAGTACCGGTGCAATAGCATCGAGACCCAGTTTGCTACTCGAGTTTGTGCTTTCCAAGTTTGAGCTCGAACTCAAATTTTGTTAGTAAGCTAAACTTCAGAAATAATATTTGTATTTAAAATCATGATGCAATATCAAATGGACAAGACTTGTGAGCTATTCAAGTCAGGTACCCTCAAGCCATAGCTCAACCCAATTAAGTACTCGAGCTACTCGAACTTCAAAATGATCGTGCCGAGCTCGGATAATTTGCGAATCGAGCTCGAGTAACTGGCCGGTAATTTGATGTTGCGTATCGACCAAATGCTGAATTACTTAATCTGTTGCTGGAGAGACGTTTACACGGACAGGGATCGTGTTTCTCATGCTCTCACAAAAGTGAGATTGTGTGCCCAGATCAATCAGAAAATGACCGACTCCACTTTGATGAAACAGAAACCATACGGACCGTTTCGGGAATAAAGCTAGATATGTCAAGATACGATCTGAAAAATTGATATAACGAGCGAAGTCGCGTGCACCAGAAGAACACCCAAACCCATTCAAGGATTTTGTACACAGTATCAAGTTATCAACTGGCATTGCATATAGAAGATCCTCCTCGTGCAGTATCCATAGAGGATCCACAAGGACACATTTACTTCGAACTCGACAAATGAGAAATTGCCAATTCATAGCATGATCCAGGTTTAGCCGGTTCAACATATTAAAGCACTCAGCGAACTGTGTTATCGCTCCAAAGACTTGATGATGAGTTTATCTGGGAGAGCAATAATAAAAAGTTTCACAAAGAACTACTATGCCTGAGAACCAAACAGTCTTCAGTTGCAGCAGCACACAAGTTCCCCATCTTGCTAATAGGGCAGCATGAGAGTTATCGTGAACATTAATCACATCAACAATCTAGATCGGGCATAATTTCACATCCAGAATGTCTCGAGACTTGTTAAAGGCTGAGAGAAGAACCAAAAGGACGATGCTCTAGACGCCGAAAACATGGGTTCACGGGTTTGCCAGAGAGATCCCGCATGGCAAAATTACGGAATTGGTTGCTGTAATTCTCAGTCACCGCACAGGGTATACAAAAGAAACTGACCACTTGGCAATGTAAGCAAGACTTCCGTAACCCAGAAAGTCTTCACAGAGCTGAAGATGAAAAGGTCATCTGAAGCTTCACATCACATTAATCTCGAGTGTGGAATCGACGAGCTTTTGACGGATGGTAAATAAGAAAAAATCAATTTACGATATGCAACATTGACAGTACTAAAAATGACAGGATGGGAACATGCTATACTCCTGAGATCAAATTACAAGATATAACATTGACAGCATTAAAGTTTACTTTGTATCGCTTTCTCCAAACAAAAAAATCAAGGGTTTGGTTTGGGAGAGACTAGTGATAAGCCCTCAAGCGATGTTTACTGGACACTTAAGACGAATCTACCACCCCATGTCCTCTAATTCATGAGTTCCAGCAAGATCTACTGTAAATGATGACCCAAAACCTCCCTGAACAATTAATTATACCTTTCATGGAACAATTAGTTCTGCCTGTAAGCAATGTAATCTGCCAAAGCAATCAATGGAGCTGCCTTTGCTATATCAAATCCAGATAGCTGTTCTCGAGCATCTTTGTTCAGTTTCTTGGCCAACTCCCTAGATTTTTCAATGCCCATTAGCTTTGGATATGTAACTTTGTCGGCCACCAAATCCTTGCCAGCCGTTTTACCCAGTTCTTGAGAAGACTTGGTCACGTCCAGAATGTCATCCACCACCTGAAATAGCAACCCAATACACCTTGCGAAACTCCGCAACTTCTCAACTTCTTCATTAGACCCGCCTCCCATAATTGCCCCAAGAACAACAGATGCTTCGAGCAATGCCGCAGTTTTGTGGATGTGAATAAACTCAAGCTGCTCCAATCCTACATCAGCGATTCCTTCAGAACTTATATCCACCACTTGGCCAGCAACTAGGCCTTCTGCTCCAATCGACCTCGCCAATTCGAAGATTGCTCTGACTATCCTTGTGGATGAAACCCCCTTCGTTTCTACTGCAATGTGCTCAAATGCGTAGGCCAGTAGGGCATCTCCAGCCAAAACAGCAACATCCTCACCAAAAACCTGAAAGATAAAGTTACACGATAGTAAGCTTCGAAGTGTAAGCTTTCGTGAAACTTGCATGTTACTCCTAATAAAGCATAGTAAGTTTACTAGCACATTCATATTAGCCAACAAGCAGAAATTCAACTGGACTACTTCTCCAATCTCACTTATATTCATAATTCTAATTTCGCCGGTGAAATCAACTTCATGAGCTACTGTACTATATGGAAAAAAACATATCCAATGGCTATCACTTCTACACGAATCAACTATCAAGAAAACGATGATCACGTTAGTAATCTCAACATATACAAGTTGCAGAAAAGCAGCCAACATAAACCCCTACCTCCTGCGACAATACTTCGTAATAACGAAGCAAAGATCCACTTCAATTTCGCCATGATATAAGCACAATTAACATCCTACCTAGCATCACATCATCATAGACAAGCGAGAAAACTAGGCATAAGACCTTGTGGTTGGTGGGCTTTCCGCGGCGCAAGTCGTCATTGTCCATACAGGGAAGGTCATCATGAATCAAAGACATGGTGTGGATCATCTCGACGGCACAAGCCGACGGCATGGCCATCGACTCCTGCCCTCCCACGACCTCGCACGCCGCTATGCACAGAACCGGGCGGACCCTCTTTCCGCCGGCGAGCAACGAATACCTCATGGCCTCATGGATCTTCAGCGGCGGCCGGAGCAAGACCGAGGAGTCGAGCGCCGCGTTCACAGAGTTCGCCTTCTCGAGCATGTACTCCTTGAAATTGAAAGGGGGTCTCCCTTCTCTATCCTCGGCGGTGGCCTCCTCTTCCTTGGTGAGGATCGCGGAGACGGAGAGACGCAATTTGGGAGAGGAACAAGAAATGGGTCTGGCGGGTCTTGGAGAGATCAGAGGAAAGGCTGGAGCTTTCAGGGGATGAAGCAAATTGGATCTGCTCGCTTGGTTAAAGATCGAACAGGTGCTGCTCAAATTGACGCAGTTCATGTTTCCGATGCTAAAGAACGAAGAATCCGATCTTGGGTATTCAGACCCGAGTCCTGAGAGGGGCTTGGTCGATAGAGAGCGAAAAGAAAGAGACGAGCGAGCAAGGTGCTTACAGGGTACAGTCCACCGCGAGCTCCACTAACACAGTTTTGGGCAATTCCACTTTTCTCCCGTCCACCATTGACGGACAACAGTGGCCACAGCAAGAAAAGAAGCGAGCGTTCTTGCAAGATCTCGGGACAAGATCGTGTTCGAGCAACCTGGAACAAGAATGCAATGGAACGAGGCTGACAGGAAAAGGACGTTCCGGCGATGTGGGTGGTGGGTGTCTGTGAGCGCTACAGGATCGACCAACCTACCACCAGATGACACGGATAAGATCTCCAGTTTGGGTGGGCAATCGGATAATGTGGAATCTGCAGTGCCTTTTGAAGCGGATCGAGCATTTTAAACGAAAATTTTTTTTAGGGGCAATTTTTTTTTTTTTTTTGCAAAAGGGGCAATTAAAATGCCTCGATGAACATATGATGAACTGACCTCTGTGTTCGATGTAAAAAGCATCTTGTCAAAGCACATGTTCCACGGTCGTGGGTCGGATCCAGCGACGGCAGCGTGATGAACGAGGTTTCCGACAAACCGAATCAGTCGAATTTGCATTTCTCAACTGCCCTGTTCTTGCGGAATTTGATTTCTACACGTAAGTCTCCTTTCCCTCGCTCTAGTTTACTTCGCGAAAAATATTTTTCTCATTTTTCAGTATTTAATTTGTTTAGGAAAAATGATTGCACGTTTTCCTAATCAACGAAAAATCTATACTTAAATTCAGAAAAAATTATTTCTTCTTTGAAAAACCGGATAACGATTTCCAAAATATGATTAAGTATCGGTGTTTGGACCTGAAACTCTACGCTTGGACACGAAAACTCTAACGCTAATTCCCGGGTTCCCGACATTCAGAGCCAAGTCTCTGGCGCCTGAGTCTGGGTCCATCGAGGCCCAAGCACTCACGCTCAGGTCCATCGAGGCTAGGCCAAAAGCATTGGTGCCCATGCCCAATGTCTCAACACCCAAGCCTCGGTCCATAAATGTTATGCTTGTGTCTCCAATGCTTGAACTTTGGTCCCCGGCACTCAGGCCCGAGTTCGCAAAGGTCGAGCGCAAGTCCTTAGTGCTCAAACTCGGGTCCTTAGCTAATGAAACATTCATTCTTATAAAGATATTTAAAAAAATTGAATTTTTTTATTATTTTTATTTTTCCTTCTTCCTCAGCCGGTGGTCGGCCATAGGCAAGAGACGAGCTTGCCTAAGGCCGACGAGGCTCAAGCTTGTTTGTGGCCGGTTGCCAGCCGTTGCCGTGGCTAGTGACCGGCCGAAGAAGATGGAAAAAGAAAGAAGATAAAAATGATTAAAAATTCAATTTTTTTAAAAAGTAAAAAGAGATAAAACTTATTAAAAGGACTATAAAGAGGAAAATCAAATTAGATTTTCCATACCAAATGGCGGAAAATATTTTCTAGTTCATTTTCAGAATTCGGCCAAACACCGGAAAATATTGTTATTTTCTTATAAAATGACTTCCTGCAGAAACATCAATTTTTTTCCGAAACAAATAGAGTCTTAGGGTGCGTTTGTTTCGCGGAAAATTCAATGATAAAGGAAAATGCTTTCTTGAAAAGCATTTTCTAGGAATACGGTTAGTTTTCTTACATTTGGTGATATGTGATCAAAAATTTTTTCTGGTGTTTGCATATTATTTGGAAAATAATTTCAATCTCATGATTTTATCTTAGACAAAAAAAAATTCAAGTATTTTAATAATTTTTTAAAAAAAATCGATTTTTTAAATTTTTTTCTCTTTTCTTTTTCCTTTTCTTTTCTTTCCTTTTCTTTTTCCTCCTACCTCTGCCGTGACTGGGCAGCGACGGCCATAGGCGAGCCCGATGCTCGCCAAGCAACGGCCATAGGTGAGCTCAAGCTCGCCGGGATCGGCCGAGCTCGAGCTCGCCAAGGCAAGACCGGCCGAGCCTCGACCTTGCGCCGACGAGGCTAGTCGAGGCTTGCAGGCGAGAGGTCGGCGCTCTCACAAGGTTGGCGAGTCGCCGGCCCTACCCATGGCCGGTCATCGGCCGTCGCCAAGGCCAGCGACCGATCGAGGGAGGAAGAAGGAAAAAGGAAGAGAAAAGAAAAAAAGAAAAAAAAAAAGAAAGAAAAGAAAAGACAAGAAAAAATAAAATATTAACAAAATCAAGATTAGCAATTTCGGAAAGTGTTTTCACTTTATTAGATTAGGGAATTCACTTTCCTAATTTTATACATTAAAGTTTTCCTTAATCGAAAAGTGTTTTCGGTTGACTAATCATTTTTCGCGAACCAAACTAGTAAAAATTCGGAAAATGGATTTCGGAAAAATACTTTCCCTCAAATAAACACACCCTTAATTAAAAAGTTTTTTAAACATTTATATATTGAGACACTTTGTATGAAGATCACGATATAATGCGATCATAATACTTTGATGCCTAAGAACACAAAACCCAATCAAGTTCCTAATCCATTTTGTCTCTTGATCGTCCGCTCCGAGGTGAATTTTGATTTTTCGACACCAAATCAGAGTGTTTGATTCGAGCGAAAATTACAGTTTCTTTCGTAAGTCCAACTCAGCAGAAGTAATGATATACTCGCGAGTGGATTTGATCTCCTTATCAGCTGTCGCATTCTCTAAACGTGTCAACCACTTACGACTTAAGTATGGTGGACTTTTCGGGTCTAGTATGTACACTAAGGCTGCGCATGACAACGATTTTGTGCCCGAGAACAGATTCTGCTCAGAAATGATTCTTTTTAATTCTGTGCCCGGAATTGATTCTGAGTATTTTAAGGCATTTGTTAACGGCCCAAAATTCCATCCCTGGAATAGAAAAAGAACAGAACTGCGTTTGGTAATGCCACAAAATTTCTTTTTATTAATAATATTTTTAAATATTTTAATATTTCTTTCTTTTTTTTTCTTTTCTTTTTTTCTTTTCCTCCTTCTTGGCCATAGCCTGCTCGCCGACCATGACAGGTAAAATATTTTTTTATTAATAATATTTTTATTAAAAGTATTTTTTCTTTTTTTTTGCCATGGCCTAGTCGCCGGCCATGACCGGTAAAATATTTTTTTTATTAATAATATTTTTTATTAAAATATTTTTATTAAAAATATATATTTTTATTTTTTTTGGCCATGGCTGGTAAAATATTTTTTTTATTAATAATATTTTTTATTAAAATATTTTTATTTTTTTGGGCCATGGCCTGATCGCCGACCATGGCTGGTAAAATATTTTTTTATTAAAATATTCTTATTAAAAATATATATTTTTATTTTTTTTGGCCATGGCTGGTTAAATATTTTTTTATTAAAATTTTTTTATTAAAAATATATATTTTTTATTTTTTTTGGCCATGGCCTGATCGCCGGCCATGGCATGTAAAATATTTTTTTTATTAAAATATTTTTATTAAAAATATACATTTTTATTTTTTTTTGCCATGGCTTGGTCTGCCATGGCGTAAATATTTTTATTAAAATATATAATAGTAAAATATTTTTTATTAATAATATTTTTATTAAATATTTTTATTAAAATATATTTTTTTCTTTTTTATGGCCATGGCAGATCACCGGCCATAACAGGTAAAATATTTTTTTTATTAATAATATTTTTTATTAAAATATTTTATTCTTGTCAGATCCGGCGAGGGCGGTCCTCGGGCCGGACATTAGAAGCTAAATTAAAAACCAAGAAATGAAGAAGAAAAAAAAATTGATTCTCAAAATTGTTCCCAGAATCAAGAAGCTACTTTTTTTTTATTCTTGATTTTGCTCCAAAACTGATTCTGGGAACAATTTTTGACAAAATTGTGCCCAGAATCAAAAAATTAAACAAACGCATTTCTGTTCTCAAACTGATTCTGGGAACAAAAGAACAGAATCAAACACTGTTTGGTAAGTTGTCATGCGCAGCCTAAGTTGCGAATGAATCCCATTAACGGGTTTGCTAGGTGTAAACATCAAGGGGTGCCTGAGAAGACTGCTGCAAACTTTAGGTTAGGCAAGTGAAAATGACTGGTCATTGTCCAAATTTCAAGAATGAAAGTGACTTCTCACGTCATGCCAAATTAGGTGTTTTCATTGTTGCATTTGGAGCCTGAAAGTTGGTGACATCGAATGGGTTTCTTCAATAACAAATGGTTTTCTATTTTGCCGTGCAAAAACAAGAGGTACATTCAGCGTTCATATTTGCCGAACGTTTCATTGATTTTGTGCAAGAATTCTCCGCTAGCAGACACCCATTACCGTTCGAGTGATTAGGTTGAGATTACTCTAGTTGTAGGCGGAGGCTAAAGCACATCATGTCACAAATTAGGTTGACATTAGGACAATCAAACTATATTCGAGAAAGAGTAATATCATCTAACAGCTTAAACTTTTAGAATAGTTAGCAGTAATCTCATAAAATCTCACATAATATCAGAACTGAAAATCCTGAGTTCAAATCTTTCCAAATCCCGTTTGCTTCCCTAATTAAATTTTTCCACGTTTAGTACTAGGCAGAAAGACCAAACTAAGCGCGAGGGAGAGTGTTAGAGTAATTAAATATTAAACAACGCCTTCATCTAATAACTTAAGCTTTCAGAATAGTCAGCAATTATCCAACCAAAATCTTATAGATTTCACAAAAAAAAAAAACCATAAACCGATACACCTGTGACAAATTTACCCCAAACTAATGTTTGAGTCACTTATGACAAATTTACCACCATAAACTAATTTTTAGGTCATCAAAAATTCCAAATTAGTACATTCGTGACATATTTACCTTTTGTTAGCTTCCGTCAAATTTTATCGTGAAATTATTGAGCTGAATGACACATGACAGTAACTCAATTGACATGACAAGTCCATGCGAAAAATTTTATTAGTTTATGATTTGGAGTTTCTGGTGATATTACCTTCGAGCAAAAAACAAAAAAGTGCCTACTTCGTCTTAAGAATGCGCTCATGCACATGGTATCGCATCCATCGTGTTGGATGTTCAAAAAACGTGAGCTTTTTCCTTTCAGGACCAATCTAATTCCTAAAACTTTCTATATAATTGTTTCCATATTAGGCCCTAGATGTTAGTTATGTTCATTTACACCACCCCCTACCTCTCTCTTTTGTTATTGCTACTCTATTCTGGTTAGGTTCGACATCGAGCCTAGGCAGAGAGCGTTCCTCAAACTTATCGTGACTCAAAAAACTTATGAAATTTTATCTTTGAAAAAAGAAGAACAAGAACTCCAATGCGTGAGCATCACGGGTCAAGACTTTCCCAACCGAGGACAAACTCGTGTGGTGCTTGAAAACATCATGCTGACCTTTCCTAAATTGGTCGTTCTCAAAGACAGTATGGCAGATCGTATCCTCATAACCAACCGTACCATAACCAATTTAATTCGGGAAATCAATCCCTCGTGTGAGAGGTATAGATCACTTCAGTCCAACAATTGTTTCGGCCTACCATGATCATCATTAGGAGAGCGGCATCAATTTCCAAACAATTTGTGTATGGGAGGCCAAGCCCATCTTTAGAGATCCTCCAATATGATAATCATCCGATACTTAGATTCATAGCACAAACATCTTGGCGCACGACCAAATTGTATCAACCTTTTTGCATCTCTCACATTTCATCCCGATGTCACGAATCAACACCTTTCCGTTGACATGGGTATGAGAAGAAACGGACTGTGACACTCTTCCCGACACAATTCCGCAACATTTCATAGCGGACCATTTTGTCACGTTGTTCAACCCTCGTTGGTACTCCCTTTGGACTTACTTGAATGGCAAAACCTCGCCAAACAGATAGGCCACTCCACTTCAACGATTGCTTTCTCCAATCAAATTTGTTTGCAAATCTTTAGTCACTTGTGCTCTTCTTGATAACTATGGCACCCAGAACCAACTGTGCTTCCTAGGCATCACTTTCATTTGCCTACTAGGCTTCTCCCGATCTCAGAAGACCAACAAAGATTTTTTCTCTCGGTTCGTGGCACTGCATCTTCTCGTTTACCCAAAAGGGTGATAGTTTGTATCAACTTTTGCTACGGAAATACAAATACCTAGGGCCATATATCAAGACAGACAAAGGCTTTATCTCTATTTCTGCATAGCATGTACTAATTCCATCAACCCACCCCAAGTCGCATAAAGCTTCATTCACGCTCAGGTTGAGCTACCACATAAAATCCTCGAAACATATTTTTGCCATATAGAGCCTAACCTCTATTCTCATAACAAAAGGAGTTTCAAAAGTATATTAAAAGCTGCAAGGCTTGAGCACCTTCGATCTACCAACAACATCACAAAAGGGTTTCCCAGTAAGCTTGCTTAATTAACAATGTCCTAGATAATGGAAATAAGGGTCCAAAAGCTTGGAAGAACAGATGATGTTTCTTCCAATTGGATACCAATGCAACCATATAGAGATATGTAGTGTAAATATATAGAATCTTTATAACAGCGGTGCAAACAGAAAAATTGCAAATTCATACCAAAGAACAGTACTAGATGGTGTTTAAGGTTCGAAAATCATATTGCATGTTGACAGCAGCCATCAATTATAGTTGCACCATACATGATACTGAACATCTAACTTACAACTGCAAAGCCTCTAAGTTAGCGCCGCAAAAGGTACACATAAAAGTCTCTAACAAAGCTCCAGAAGTGACCTCGCGACAGACAACAAATATCTTGAGTCTCACCATGACCTGCAACTACTTTGCAGTGCGCTTCCTCAAGAACAAGACCATCCAGGTGTTGGAGGTGAACGGCCACAACATCAAAGCACATTCAGAAGTCAACTAAACAAACCAAACAAGGTTAGAAAGGAAAAAAGTTACTTAAATCAGGTTCTGCATTCAAGCAAACCTGTAATGGCTCTCATTTGCAGGCCTTTCGACCCTGTTATACATGGGACTCCCTCAGGGATCATCTCTGGAATTTGGAACAGCACTAGGGCCACAATCAGGGATAAACCTATCCCAACGAAATGAACTTGGTGGTCGCCCATGGCCCCTTCCATGATAAGACGCATCACGTCCTCTATCAGGACTGTAACCATTCCCTCCCTCATCCTTAATTGCATATTCCACCATGATAAATCAATCCATCAATTTGCTACATTTGCAAGGACGAAAGCTTGACTAGTATGGATGAAAACTGGGTCACGTCCATAATGTCATCAATAAAGTACACAACAATAGTCTTAGCTAGAACCCTTGGTTTGATACATGACGGGCTCAACAAATGGGACAGCGCTCCATATATTATATTATCAGTTTGTCCAGCAAAGTTTGGTAGAAAATTTCACGAAGAACTATGATGCCACATTCAACCAAACAGTAATTATGCTGCAACAGTTTACAAGTTCCCAATCCTGCTGAGAGGACAGCATCAGAGTTATTTTGAACATTAATTGGTTTAATAAATAAGATTGAACATAACTTCAGCCCAAATATCTCAAGACTTGTTAAAGCCGGAGAAAAGACCCAAAAGGACAAAGCTCTAGACACCAAAAACATGAGCTCAAGAGTTTGGGAGAGAGATCACGCCTCGCAAAATCACAGAACTGGTTGCTGTAATTCTTGATCACTGCACAAGGTATACATAAGAAACTGATTCCAAGGCAATGGAAACAAGAACTATGTAACCCAGACAGTCTTCACATAGCCATAAAAGAAATATAAAACAAGGTCATCCGAAGTTTCATATCACATAAATATCAAGCATGGAAACTAGAAGCTTTTGACAAGGATCTGCATGCCAGAAAAGTACATAACAAACTGCTATCTTCTGGTTTTATAAATTCAAACATGAAATTATCACTTCTGACGTGATACAACAGAGCAACATCGTGCTCTCCTCAAGAGATTCCCTGCAAAAAACTCAGTACACAATTCCAATCATCAACCGCAGTTCTCTTATTGATCAAATAGATTTATGCCCATAACCCAAATTGATTAACTCCAAATTCCAATCGTTATGAGAAGTAAGCCCTACTAACATGCTATCAGAAACAGTATGTACTATTTACATTGTAATCACCAAAGGTTCAAAGTCACTGAGTAAATAAGCATCTGTAAAAGAGGATTTACGAGGTACAACATTGATAGTGTTGAGAGTTTACTTTGTGTCACTTTCTCCAAAAAAAATCAAGGGTTTTGGTTTGTTGAAGACTAGTAAAAAGCCAACAAGCGACATTAAGAAACGTTTACTGGACCCTTGAGATGAACTTACCACCCAGTATCTTCATGTCCTCTAAATTCATGATTTCCCAGCAAGATCTACTGTAAATGATAACCCAAAACATCCTTGAACAATTAATTCTCCCTTTATGGAACAATTACTTCTGCTTTTTAGCTATGTAATCTGCCAAAGCTATCAACGGAGCTGCCTTTGCTATATCAAATCCGGATAGCTGTTCTTGAGCGTCCTTGTTCAGTTTCTCGGCAAACTCCCTAGATCTTTCAACCCCCATTAGCTTTGGGTAGGTAAGTTTGTCGGCCACCAAATCCTTGCCGGCCGTTTTACCCAGTTCTTGAGAAGACTTGGTCACATCCAGAATGTCATCCACCACCTGATATAACAACCCAATACACCTTGCGAAATTCCGCAACTTTTCAACTTCTTCGTTAGACCCGCCTCCCATAATTGCCCCAAGAACAGCAGATGCTTCAAGCAATGCAGCAGTTTTGTGGAGGTGAATAAACTCAAGCTGCTCCAATCCTAAGTCAGCCATTCCTTCAGAACTTATATCCACCACTTGGCCAGCAACTACGCCTTCTGCTCCAATCGACCTTGCCAATTCAAAGATCGCTCTAACTATCCTCGTGGATGGAACCCCCTTCGTTTCTACCACAATATGCTCAAATGTGTATACCACTAGGGCGTCTCCAGCCAAAACAGCAACATCCTCACCAAAAACCTGCAAGATAAAGTTACACAACAGTAAGCTTCAAAGTGTAACATTTCATGAAACTTGCATGTTACTCCTAATAAAGCATAGTAAATTTACAAGAACTTCAGATTAGCCAACTAGCAGAAATTCAACTGGGCAAATTGATCAATCTCACTTATCTTCACCAATCTAATTTCACCTATGAAACTAACTTCATGAGCTGCTGTACTATACAGAATGCACATATCCAATGGCTATAACTTCTACATGAATGAACTATCAAGATACCAATGATTACGTTAATCGTATCTCAACATTACAGAAAAGCAGCCAGAATAGACGAACATATTTAAGCCCTACCTCCTGGGACAATACTTTGCAATAACGAAGCAAATCGCCACTGCAATTTTGACAAATATTAGCACAATTAACATCCTACCCAGCATCATATCATTACAAACAAGCGAGAAAATTAGGCATACAACCTTGTGGTTAGTGGGCTTTCCACGGCGCAAGTCGTCATTGTCCATACAAGGAAGGTCATCATGAATCAAAGACATGGCGTGGATCATCTGGACAGCGCAAGCCGAGGGCATGGCCATTGATTCCTGCCCTCCCACGAGCTCACATGCCACTAGGCACAGAACCGTGCACACCCTCTTTCCGCCGGCGAGCAACGAATACCTCATGGCCTAGTGAATCTTCAGCGGCGGCCAGAGCAAGACCGAGGCATCGAGCGCTGTGTTCACACAATTCACCTTCTCGAGCATGTAGGCCTGGAAATTGAAAGGGGGTCTCTCTTCTTTATCATCCGTAGTGGCCTCGTCTTCCTTAGTGAGGATTGCAGAGACAGAGAAGCGCAAGTTGGGAGAGGAAAAAGAAATGGGGTTCGGTGGCTCTAGGAGAAATCAGGGGAAAGGCTGGATTTTTCAGGGTATGAAGCAAATTTGATCTGCTTGCTCGGTTAAAGATCGAACAGATGATGGCCAAATTGACGCGGTTCATGTTTTCGCTGCTAAAGAACAAAGAATCTGATCTTGGGTGTTGAGTCTTGAGAGGGGTCAGCGTTGGACGTTTTAAGCTTATGGATGGATTCAGTCAGTGAGAGTCTCTCAAACTCAATCAATACCAACGGATCCTATCAACCTAATAAGTGGAAAGGGGCAAGCCAAAACCTGCTCCCAACTAGTTGCATCCCAAGTCAAGCGCTAGAAGAAAGGAAATGAGAGAACCGTCAACGCGAGAATTCCAGGTAAAAAGGAGAACTAGCCTTTCAAGATACCCACCCAGCATTGATCACAAGAATTGTCAGCTTAATCTCTATTCGTCTCCTGCTTGTCTGGGGAACTGCTCCTCTTTCACGGGGTACTGGGAGAAAGGAAAAGCCCTTACCTTGCCTGATGAATTGCCTTTCGTTCAGTCAGAAAGTACAGACAAAAGCTCGCTGCGCGGACGAGGAAGCTCTCGAGGGAGACTACCTCGGAGTTGGTCTCGTCCATTGCCGTTAGTAGCGATGGAAATGGTAAACAGAGAGGGTAAAGAAAGAGATGAGTGAGCAAGGTTCAGGAGGATATTGCAGTTGGTTGACGGTGCAATTCCACTTTTCTTCTTTCCACCATTGACGGCGAAAAGTGACCGAAACAGGGACGGGCGAGCGTTGTCGCAACATTTCGGGACAAATCTTTGTTGAGTCACTCGAACCAACTACAAAAGTGTGCCCGAATCCCTGGAAATTCCGAGCAAAATGAAATGGAACGAAGCTCACTGGACAAGGAGGTCTGGCTGTGTGGTGTGGGCAGGCAGAGAGAGAGAGAGACAGTTGGGTTCATGAGCATACTCAGGAAAAAAAACATCAATAATGGCCTTATGAGCCCATGAACTAATCTGTTTGATTTTAAGATCTTGTCAAAGCTTTTTCTTCTGTTTTTTTTGGGTCGAAAGATCTTGTCAAAAGCTCAGATGCCACAATCTTGAGTTGATCCGGCCGCTGAAGGGTGATGAACAAGGTTCTACAATTCTCAACTACCGTTTCAATTGCGGTCAGGTTATGAGTAAGTAAATCTCAGCTGTCTAGTCGACAACTTTCCTAGTGTTTATATGTCGAGGCTCTTTGTATACCTAAAAGGAGTTTCAAAAGTTTGTGAAAGCTACAAGGCTCGAGTACTTCCAACCAATTCACCAAAAACACCACAAAAGGTTTCCCAGTAACCTTGCCTGACGATCTGTCCTATCTATCCTACGGATTGGAAACGAGGGTCTGGTAGCTTCGAAGATTAGACAATGTTCTCTTTCAACTAGAGACCAATGGAACCGTTGGAAAGTATAAGGGTAAAATAGTAAATTGTTCTAGCAGGGTTGAGCATGTATATATGTAACCCTTTTTCTAATTGAATAATACTAATTGAATAAAAATATTATTATCTCTTCAACGTGGTATTAAAGCCGGAGATAATATAAAAAAAAACCCTAATCTTTTACCCTAATCGCCAGAGGCTACTTTTGCGTCATCGGAGAAGCCATTGTTGCCAACGATGGGTAAGAGTCAGAAGTTGAGGACTCCCACGACTCCTGCGACCTTAAGGTTCACCTGGATGGCACTCTTAATCGATTGAAGGCACGGTTAGTTGCGAAGAGGTATACTCAAACTTATGATGTTGACTATGATGACACTTTCTCTCCGGTGGCCAAAATCCCATCGATTCGTGTATTTATCTCATTGGCTACATGATTTGGCTGGCTACTACATCAGCTGGATGTGAAAAATGCTTTTTTACATGGTGATCTGGCTGAGGAGGTCTACATGGAGCAACCGCTTGGGTTTGTTGCTCGGGGGAAAATGTGGTATGTCGTTTATATGGACTTAAATAATCTTCTTGTGCTTGGTTTGGTAAATTTAGTGATGCAATTATCAAATTTGGATTAAAGCGGTGTAAGGTAGATCATTCAGTTTTCAGCTCTATCTCTTCAGTTGGTTGTATCATTCTAGTTGTATATGTGGATGACATAATCATTACTGGCAGTGATTCAGATGGTATTCAAAAGCTTAAGCAATTTCTGCATATAGAATTCAGTACTAAAGATATGGGACATCTTCGATATTTTCTTGGTATTGAAGTAACCTACTCACATGCCGGTATCAATTTATCGCAACGAAAGTATGTACTGGATATTCTTTGTGAGGTTGGATATCTTGGAGCAAAGCCAGTCGATACCCTTATGAAACCTAATGTAAGACTTGATGCAAAACATGGAGAATTATTGAATAATACAGCGAAATATCGGAGATTAGTGGGAAAGTTGAACTATCTTACCGTCACAAGACCTGATATATCATTTACTGTTAGTGTAGTAAGCCCGTTCATGAATTCTCCTCGTACTACTCATTGGGATGCCGTACTTCGAATTGTCAAATATTTGAAGGGAACACCAGGCAAAGGATTACTGTTTAAGAATTATGGTCATCTAAACACTACAGGATTCTCTTATGCTTATTAGGATGGATGTCCTATAGATAGAAGATCTACTTCGGGATACTGTGTGTTTCTTGGAGGTAATTTAGTTGTGTGGAAGAGCAAGAAACAACATGTAGTTTCCCGATCAAGTGCTGAAGCTGAATATCGAGTTATGGCACATTTGACAAGTGAATTAATATGGTTGAGGATGTTACAATCAGAGATTGGAATGTCACCGTCAAATCCATCGGTATTATATTGTGATAATCAATCTGCTATTCATATTGCATCTAATCGTGTCTTCCATGAGCAAATGAAGCACATTGAGGTTGATTGTCATTTTGTGCAAGAAAAAATTCAGAAAAGAGAGATTATTCTTCAACACACAAAGGCGGAGGATCAATTCGCAGACATCTTTACTAAATCTCTACGGGGAAATAAAGTGAATTTCTTATGTAACAAGTTGGGATTGTTCGATATCTACGTCCCAACTTGAGGAGGAGTATTGGAAAGTATAAAGGTAAAATAATAAATTGTTCGATATCTAGTTGAATAATGCATAACATTATTATCTCTTCAATAGGAACCATGTAGAGATGAGTATTATCGACGTATAGAATTTCTATAATTATGTAAACAGAAAAATCGCAGGTTCATGTTAGAGTTCAGTGCTACACAGTGTGTAAGGTTCAAAAATCGTATTGCATGTTAGCAGCAGCAATCATTCATAGTTGCACCATACACGATACTGATCATCCGCGCTTGGTGTGCTTATTTCAAGTCACCAGTCTCATCTACTTGAACAATTCATTGGGACACACGTGTTGGTTGCTGCTGTTCATGTTTCATGGGCTAATTTGTCCTCTAGTCTTTGGGGCCCTTGTCGCTGAGTGGGTTACCGATTCAGGTTTGTCATTAGGCCCATCTATCAGATACAATGTGATAATGACATGTGGAAAAAAGCAGATTAATGAGAAAAAAGATTGAAAATTCGAACGTAAAAGTTGGTCGAGATGCATATCGCATACACACTACGAATGGTCGATGACTCCATGTCGGCCATGTAACAAATATATAAAATGCTTTTCTTTACAATTGACAATTATTGATCGACACCTTTTGCTAGCATAAATATACATAATATAATTTCTCATCGACCAAGCAGGTCTTTCGCTTGAAATCCCCATAGAGGACACACAGCGAGTGTAACTTGAACGTATGGAGCATCACAAGAAGTTATCGTAGTTTCATCTGCCCATCCAATTAATGATAAAGTACAAAAAGTTGGCGGATGACTTTTCTAAGAGCAATTATTAGGCGCACCCAGTGAGTTTATGCGTGGCAACTGTTAAGTCACGCGAGTCTCAAGTGAAATCCACTAAAATCAAGCGTTGCATTGTATTGAATTCACGTCAATTCAATACACCTTGTAACTTTTTATTGTACTTTTTCGATAGATAAACTGAAAGAAAAAAAAAGGTCATAGATAAGAAAACCTGAGTTAGATGCTTTTGAAGTATTCAGAGATTATTAACACTAACACGTCGCTTTCACAGAGATAGCGATTCTTCAAAATTGGGACAACATAACAAGTGCCTTTGATCGGTCAATATCAATAGAATCTGGGAAGCAAAAAAAGGAATCGCGGATCGGAAGGAGCGTGCAATAAAGATTCTTGAAATTCTTGAGAAATCAATCGCGAGATTAGAATCACAAATCCCACCGATCTCGTGTGCCAATGCAATCCTCGACGACCAACACGCACACGAATCAGCGTACAAAGGAAGCTAGCCGTCGCGCATGGTACGATAGGATCATGCGTTGTTGTCCAAAACCAAAAGAAAACAAGACAGCGTATTCGAGTGAAAGAATCCAATCCAAAAGCTGGTTCTTCGTTTCTTGTTTTCACGTAGTGAAGAAAAACCCGTGTGCGCCCCGGCCTCTAACCTTCTCTCTCTGAAGGCTCTTTATTCTCCCGCATAAAGCTGATCGGCTTCCGCTTTTCGCTGTGCCTTTGGGAGATCAGAACCAACACCATAAGACGAAAAAGTTCTTCTTGTTTTTTCGCCTCAGTCCATCTCTCCGCAGCTCTGTTTCTTGAGCAGGTTCGGGTCGTTTCTGTGCCCATTACTCTTCTTGTTTCTGTTTCTTCGTGTCTTGGAGTTGATCGAGATTTACCGTTGATCATTCTCCGCCTCTTGTGATCATGGGTCGTTTCTGGAAATTGGGTGGGATTGATTTTTGCGATGTGATCTTTGGTCGTGAGGTTTCGAGGTTTCTTGCTAGAATTGACCCAAATGGATGCTTTATCCGGTGGTTGCTTGTTGCTTCGTTAAAATCTGACTCTGAAAAAATGAGTTTTGGTTAATTATCGTGCTCATTTGAGTATGTTACTTGCTGATCAAGTGCTAAAGTTATGGCCTGTATTCACTTTTCTTGATGCTAGTTATCTTGTTCGTTTTCAAGCACATTGGTGTTCTCATTATCATCAGTAGTATAGGTCAATTTCGATACTTTCTACTACTTAGAAGGGAGAAAGTTATCATCAGAGGTATAGGTCAATTTCGATCATTTCTACTGATAAGGAGGGAAGAAACTTCTGGAAGTTTCTTCAACCCGTAGATGGCACTGAGACTTTGATGCTTTCTTCAAGTCTCATCATGCAAAAGCTTGAAAGCCTGGGATAATTTTGACTTTTATGTATGTGGAGGCGTCCGTGGGCTTAATTATGTGGTATCAACTCATCCATGGATACCGCAATGCCTCTCTTTATTATATATGGATTTTCTTTAAGGATACTTATTTGTATATCAAGCTTGTCTTCATGAGATGATTTCCAGTTTTGGCCATTAGATGCTTGCTGGGTAAGGGGTGGGCACTAAGGAATATGACTAGAGACTATAGAGCATAAACCTACAATTACTGAGAGTATGTTAGGGAGTTGGGACCATTCAGATGGTCCAGTACTCTTCATTAATTCTCAATCAAGATAGTGAGTCAGAATCAGGGTATATGAGTTCTTATTAAGTCAAGATACTCATATAATTGATAGGATAGCAGTTTGATAACAAGAGGGCTAAAGCTGTGACACGTGGAACCAGAAACATGTCTCTGATATCTTAAGTGCAAACTTGCAAACGTACTGGCAACATCATGGTTGTTTGTACGTCCTAGTTTTCTTCTCATGCTTGATTTATATTATAAGATACAGTGATTAACGTTTGTGGCTTTTCACATTTTAGGAACTATGATTAAGCTCTTCAAAGTAAAGGAAAAGCAGAGAGAAAATGCTGAAAATGCAAATGGAAGGGGACCTGTAAAGAAGCAAAGTGCTGGGGAGTTGCGCCTTCACAAAGGTTTCACCTAAGTTTACGAAGTTGCGTTAAATTATTTTTGTTAAAAATTGCTTTTAGGAGCAACTTTTTATGGGCACAATGGAATTGATGTGATGCGAATGGTTTAAAGAGGGAAGAACATAAACTAGATGTGAATTTGCTTTGTACTTTGGATTTAAAAACTATGTAGGTGCTCAAGAATACTGTGAAATTGTAAGGCTGGTCAAAGTATAGATTTGGCTGAAGGTTCAATATAATTGTCCTGTTATACGCAGCCTCTCTCCTTCTTTACGCAGCATCAATGGAATGATTTAGCTTGCATAGACACATATCATTAAAAGTATTTCGTTGAGCTTATGGTAGAAGTTATTTGAATACTACGCTAAGTGGAAATAACATTGATGGGTTTTTTACTTTATCACTGTCTCACCGATACGTGAATAATGGATACCATGGCACTGGACGTATAATTTCCCTCAGAAGCTTAATTTGAAACTTGTGTTTATGTGGTGTTGTCTTTGATTTTCTGTGAATTAACTTTAGGGATGATACTTAAAGAGGAAATATTTTCATGGAGGATGAACAGTAGATGGTGACAGGCATAAGATGGTCCTCTCCAATAAGAGCAGTATCCCTTATGAATCCACTGTTGATAGTAGTCTATGCTGTTTTGTTGTGCTTCGCTATCTTATGTCCTTCTTAAGTTGTGTGTCTTCCCTACAGATTGCATCTATGATGTGTGATATCTCTCTGATTAAAGCATCTTCTTTTATCCATGTGTAATTCATGATGGCCCAAAGTTGATATTTTCCCTTCTATTGATCTCAAGAAAAGGAACCTGCTAATGTATAGGCACAATGCTCTACTGTGACTTAATACAGAAAAAGACTAGCTTAGTTTTTCTGTGATCCTTTAAATGCCATTTGCTTTCATCCCACATCTCTCTCTCTCTCTCTCTCTCTCTCTCTCTCTCTCTCGTTGGGGTTTGGATATGGACTATATAGTGTACGCTGAAAGAAGCTGTTATTTTGTGCATGAGCATTTGAAAATTCCTATAAGGGCATGGATTATGTTGTGTAAGCTGAACACATTGCAGAGAGCATCTTATCATTACAACAGGAGCTGTTGTTTGACCAATAGGTTTGATATCTTATTGACGCTGCCAAGACATCTACTAATTTTTTTGTTTGGGCGAAAGTGGACCTTGGGCCATGGCAGAACTAGTTCCTAATTGTGCACAGGGAACATGTTTTACCAATAGGTTGTATATCTGATCGGCGGAACCAAGGGATCTGCTATTTTGTTTTTCTTTGGGTGAAAGTGAACCTTGGTCCATGGCAGTACTAGTTGCTGAGTGCACACTGAACTGTGAACAAAGATTGGAAGCTGTTAGTACAAACTAGTCCAACAAAGCCCTCCCATCTTGTTTCAAGTATCTATTTTGAAAAGACCAAGTGGCATAGATTGGTGCTGACTACTAATGACAGTTCTTTCTTTTCTATGATATTTTCTTTGATTTCTCTCAGTTTATTGGCGTTTTACTGATTAGCTCATTAATCGATATCATATGGTATATTTAGCTGTCATTTCCTTTTATCTGCTCCAGAAGTATCTCGTTTGATTATGGTTTGTTCTTGCAGATATTAGTGAGCTGAACCTACCAAAATCATGTGCAATAACATTTCCAAATGGAAAGGATGACTTGATGAGCTTTGAGGTCTCAATTCGGCCTGATGAAGGATATTATGCGTAAGATGACCACGCATTTTTCCCGGTCTTATGCTCACTAAACAAGTGCAGGATTTTTCTTTCTCATGAGGACATTCTTTTTGCTGGTTTCTGCAATTGCATTTTGTGGATCTTCTAATGAAGAACTACAAACTGTTCTCTTAACTTTCTTCTATTTGGTTTGTACAGAGGTGGCAACTTTGTGTTCACTTTTCAAGTTTCTCCAATCTACCCACATGAGGCACCGAAAGTGAAGTGTAAAACCAAGGTAGTGCAGCTTGATGTGTTATTTCGCGCAATTTGTTTACATCAATGTTTGTATAGGATATTTTGTTAACTCGGTTGGTACTTCCTTGCAAATCTAACTTTTAGGTCTACCATCCGAATATTGACTTGGAAGGAAATGTTTGCCTCAACATCTTGCGCGAAGACTGGAAGCCCGTGCTGAATATAAACACCGTCATCTATGGATTGTATCACCTTTTCACGGTATTAATTCTTCCCGTGAGCATGGAGTCTGGGTTCTTGCCTCAAGATACTTGATGTTTGTCTTTTTCACTGTTTTTGTTTGTTTTCATTAAATGTAGGAACCAAATTCTGAGGATCCCCTCAATCACGATGCTGCTGCCGTGTTGAGGGACAACCCGAGGCTTTTCGAGACTAATGTGAGGAGGGCTATGGCGGGTGGCTACGTGGGTCAAACTTTTTTCCCGAGGTGTATATAGCTTCTGTCAGATATTCGCCTGCGTTAACTGCAAAACTATTGTATCAGTGTCTGAAATGCCTGTCTTGCCATATAAATCATATGTTAATCCACCTTGCTGAGAAGAATTGGGGAAGATATGTGTCTGAACAAACAAGTGAATCTTAGAGGTTAGATTTCTGTAGCTTATGTGACCCTTGGTCCAAATATCGGTCATGCTGTTGGAATGGTGCACATAGTATGTATTATGCTGTAAGGAAAATGCCTAACCTCTCTCCTCTCTCTCTCTCTCTCTCTCTCTCTCTCTCTCTCTCTCTCTCTCTCTCTCTCTCTCTAAATCGGCAGGTGTACAACAATCCTAACATGGTATGAACAAATGTACTTTCTAATTGATCCGCTGATGTCCAAATGCATAACTAGCACTTTTATGGAGCTGGACATTATTGCCTCTCCGCTGGCTTAAAAAAAACTCTCCGCAAGCAAGCTAGGAGGACCCGTATGAGCTGTTGAGTTGTCCCGATGCAACTGCAGTAAAGCTCATATTTTGTATTTTCTCCTGAGATTGTCGCAAAAAAAAAGAAAAAAGCAAATCGTTTATGGTCTTCTGACATTTACTACGAGTTCATGGAAAGTTACATAGATGTAGAAAACGTGATACCCCGAAAGTTCAGATGATGTTCAGTGCAGGACGAGGGTTCACTCCGAAGCAGTCAAGAAAACATGTTCAGTTCATACATCTTCATCCTTCATTTTCGATGGGTTACCTGATAGCTTGATTTGACCACAAGTTCTACGTTCTGGAATCTAATGAGGAGCATATCAGGCAACTGATTTACATGCTCAAATCCATTGAAGGATGGTCGTTCTGAGACCGAGAAAAAGAAGATTCAAAAGACTGTTTGGAACTATCATGTACCGAAGTGTCTTTCTCCCGTGTTTCTCAGCAGTGAAAACGTCAAAGTATAGTTTTCCGGTAAAACATTTGCAATGCTCAAGATTTACAGACCACAAACATGGTGTATTCCTTCCGAAAGGCCAAAACCAATTGTGAATCTTGTTCAGCACTATCGCTCCATTGCCATAAGTTCCAGGCTTCCAATGTGTCCACCTGAGAACCTCACCTCAACCGATTGTACTGAAGATTATGCCATGCTAGTTTCCTGACTGTGTTTCACATCATCTCTTCCTCTTTTGAATTGGCAATCCTGGCATTGTCGCGGTCACGCCCAAAGGCCACATGTAAGGGAGTGTAGAGCAAGCAACAGAGACCGAATGGCACAGCCATCATTGACAGGAGCCCCTTCGACAAGGCAAAAGCCTCCCTCGCAGAACCCCTGATTGGATCGATGGACTTGGCGTCATAGCCATATATCTTCTCTGACATAATCCCAACCAGAGGGGCAGCAAAGGAGGAGAATGAAACTTCAAAGGCCCGGTCAAATGCATAGATCATGGTTCGGTGTTTGGCGGGAACCACCTCGGCAAACATGGGGGCATTGGCCGCCGTGAGACACCAGCTGATGGTTAAGCCCATCAGGAGTAAGGTGACGGCGAAGCTGAACCAGCTGTCGGTGTTTTGCGGAATCACTCTGAGCAGGAACAGGGAGAAGGGGATTCCCATGAAGGAACTGAACTGTGCACATATGACGCGACCCGAATTAGGGAATATAACTGACAGCCGATCAGCTATGACACCACCAAGTAGCGACCCGACAGCACACCCCACAGCAAATAGACTGAGCAGCGCTGCTGTGCTATTGTGATTGAAACCTGCAAAGCAAAATGATTGAACTATTGAAGGACACCCCACATAAGATCTGAGAACAAACATTTAATATAGATGGAAAATACTCGGTTGATTAGGTATATCCAAAAAACAACTGGATATAATGCAGAGGACACGCGAATCAAAGTCTGTTTCCACTTCACTATCGTCCTGAACTTCTGCTACATAGATTTACTAGCAATACTAATTTGTTGCAGGTCCTACTAAAGATGGCACCACTTAAGCCGCATTGAGATGAACGAAAGTTATTATTCTTTTCACCAAGTACTGATTTCCTCACAGCTGAGACTCTCCACTTGAAGAAAGACTTCAATTCTTGATTCTAAAAAGGCACGGTGAAAATGCCGAATCGAGAACTCACCAATCAGTTCGAACCACATGGTGAAGAAAACCATTGCTGTCCATGGTAACATCCCGACGACTCCCTGCAATACAATTATCTGAAAGGTCCGTACTTTTATTACAGATTTCATGGCAGCCCAGGTCTCCATCCAAACCGATTTCGCATCTGATTCCTTCCCTGTTAAATCACCTCTGCAGAGAAAACATAATGCTGATAAACAAGAAGATATTACCATTGACAATCAATGTCGAATGGTGTAAATATGGTCCGCTATCCCAGGAAACAAAAATATGACCTCATAAGAGTTACTACAGAACAAATAGTACCCATATAGGCTCTTGCTGGAATCAGGGGCAAAGCTGTTCACTTTCCTTGGATCATCAACGAACATGAAAACAAGAAACCCGATAAGCGAACTAAGGGTCGCCATCAAAATAAAGGCGCATCTCCATCCTGGTATGCCCCAGTAATCCTGACCAGCCATAACTGTTGCCAGAACTCCGCCTCCAACACCGCCAAATGAACCGATAAGACTCAGGAATCCGAAACCTGCGCCCCTCACACCATCCGTGTAGCTATCTGCTATGAAAGATTGGAGAGCTGGTATCACGATTGCTAGCCCAAGCCCGTTAACCGCCCTCCAGAATGCGACTTGTGTGAAATGCTCGCTCACGCCTACTGCGGCAGTCGATAGTGCCCAACACAGAGTGCCGATTGTTAGAACTGTGGGCCGGTCATAATTGATTGCTAGTATACCTGCCAAAGGCGAAGCTATCCCTTGCACGAAGTTCCTTATGAATGTGAGGTAACCAAGATCAACCGGCCCAATGTTGAAGGCTTCACTGACTTCTTTGTAGACTGATGGGAGCAGATTTTCGTCGGCTCGCTCCATTATTGAGGCCATGTTGATGAGAATGAGGGAAATGGAGAAGCCAAAGATCCTTCTTGTCCTGTTCCACAAGGATTGTAGCACAAACAAGATTGCAGATTACTATTAGAGGATGATGTTGAATCAATGGGAAAATTCGAGTCAATAAATTGGGAAATTGTTTGCCAAGCATGGCATCGGCACGATGCTTATGGTTCATATTATGTGAGAATACATGAAACAGAGTCCTTGGAATAACTGCAAAAAGGCTGTTGCTTCTAAAAAAATTTTAGTTGATCACTATGTAGACATTGTAGGGCCCCTCAGACTAACAAAACCGGCATAACTGTAAAAAAAACTAAGACATTTAAGCTGTGAAGTTGAATTCAGGAAGGCCAAAAAGAGGAATCACCAGGTTGACATGATCGTTCAGCATAATTAGCAAGGCAGCAAATTTTCACTCAATCTGAATGAATGCATTGTTAGAAAAATCTGCATTAATGACCAAGGCATCAACCTTAAACATTCCATGATGACTGCCAGACACAAGCGAAGAAGCCATCCTTGATCGAATAAGTAGAGGAACTACATTCCACACACACGTAGCTTAAGTAATTCTATTGAGTGCAGCTAATTCTTAATATGGGAAGTTTGCATTAGCTTCTGATCTGTCTTCCATTGCAAGTTATTTATTACAGAAAGAAACTGCGCATTGCGCACCCCTGCTAGGTGGTTCCTGGCACAACGGTAGACTATGTAGCACGTAATCAACTTCGATCCATGTCGTTTTCTGATCAGACAGATGCCCCTGGGGCTACCAGTAACCAAACATTCTCTTGACGGCGAAAAATCAGCTACTTATACTGGACAAAAGATATGGTTCCCCGAAGCAGGATCCAATTAAACAAAACAAGATATTGGCAATCTTCTCATAATAAAGTGTCCTGCTGCTTCGCTTGAAAAGTGTTTGTTGGAAGAGTAATGGGGAAGAACATGTGGGCTTCTGAGAGCGCACTTTCATCACTCATTCCTCGTTATTTTGTCACTTTTTCTTCAGCTGTGAATCCTCCTAACACTAACACATCACACTGAGCTAAAAATGCAAACCAACACACTCTCATTAAAACACCTCAACCAGAACTCACGGGGTCCTTCTGGTCAAGTCAACCTCCATGACCCATCTCTCTTCAATTTGTCCAATTACTTAATACCAACATGAACTTGAACCTAGAACTATCAAGGTCTCGAAGTTGCATGAAGTTGACTGAGGCAAGCTTAAACTTTAATACCCCATCCATCTACGCCGAATGAAACAGTACTGTGCGTAAAAGAACAAACGAAACGAATTGCAGCAGAATATTTTGCAAGAAAGAAAAGAAAAGAGAGAAGAGTCAGGAGAGGCTTACTTCATATCTTGCAGGAACCTCGGCAAGAGATGTCTGGATCCACGATCAGAGCGAAACTTGTGGTTCTGTCGTCCCATCAAAGAACCCAAATCCTGGAACCCCTCAAGGACCCGGGAAACTCGCCGGCTGCTTCAACGAAGCTCGAAACGTCGATCATCCTGGGACTCTCGATATGGATATTCTTGGCCAGGATGAACGTTCAAACGGAGATATCATTTCATTCGTGGGTTGAACATGAATCCAGAGGTGACAAAATCAAGAAGAAGACTCTCAAGAAACTGTGGAGACGATGAAGACGGGTCACATGGGGGTTGGCCGTTTGGGATGTTGGGATTGGGACAAAGTCGTCGTAGTTTTTCGTTCTTTTTTCTCTCAATTGGCTACGAGGTTCTTCGGAAATGTCCCGTATCTTGGGGTTATCTCCGAAGTACAAGGAAATTAGGACACGTTTGTTCGGCCCTAAATAAGAACCAAAAGTAAAAATTTAACATATAATTTGAATTTCAGAAAATTATGAAGAAATTATACATAAATCTACATATCAATTTTCGAATCCTATGAAAGTTTCGGGAGTTTCGGATTAGAAAAATTGAAGTGCGTGAAATACAAAACTTAGATTAAGCAAAAAGTTAAAATGGAATAGGCCATGAAACCTCACCGCGACGTATCATCTAACTGTCTAGGAAAAAGTATCAGAAAAGTCATAAATCTTTTTTTTGTACTAATTCAGTCCTAAACCTTTTATGTTTGTTTCAATTCAATTCTTCCGGCTGATTTTGACCGGATTTTGTTGACGTGGACGCCGGCTGGCGATGGCGTGGACAACTTTTAATAACATTTTAATATTTTTTCTTTTCTTTTTCCTTTTCATTTCTTCTTCCTCCAGACCGGTGACCGGTTGGAGGCCAAGGCCAACGAGCTCGCCGATCGCTGGCGAGGGTGGCTGCGACCTCGCAGCCACTGCCAGCAGCTGGGCGAGGCACGACCTCGCCAGATCTGGTGAGGTCAGGCCTCGCCCATGGCCAGCAGGGCTCGACCCTCGTGCTAGGCTGGCGAAACTCGCCGAATGGTCGTAAGGGCGACCTCGCGCTGGGCTTGTGAGGCTTGCCTTCGCCGGATCCGACGAGGGTCGAGCCCTGCCGGCCATGGGCGAGATCCGACCTTGCCTAGCTGCTGGCGAGGGCAAAGGCCGCAACCTCGAGGCCTTTGGCGAGGGCCGAGCGAGGCTCGACCTCGCCAGATTCGGCGAGGTCGTGCCTCGCCTAGCCGCCGACGAGGCTCCAGCCCTCACCAGAGGCCGCGACCTCGCAGCCTCTAGTAAGGGCGGGGCGAACCTCGCCGGCCTTTGGCCTCTGGCCGGTCGCCGGTCCAGCGACTGACTAGAGTAAGAGGAAGGGGAGGGAAAAAAAAAGAAAAAGAAAAGGAAAAAATAATTAAAAATTCAAAAAATATTAAAATATCATTAAAAGTTGTACTCGTCAGCGCCGGCATCCACGTTAGCAAAATCTGGCCAAAATTAGTCGGAATGACTGAATTGACACAAAGACAAAAAGTTTAGGATTCAATTGGCACCAAAAAAAAGTTTAGGACTCAATCGGCACCAATACAAAAGGTTTATGACTTTTTTGGCACTTTTCCATAACTGTCTATGTTGTCATATAAAGTAAAGACGACCTTATGCTTTTTAGGGATTTTAGTCATTTTTTTCCTTCTCAAATAATCTTAATTACGCGTTTCACTATTTAAAAGTCAGATTTCTTCTATCCCACAAAAACCATCTTAATAGGATTTTGAGTATTGTAATATCTTTCTTTTATCATATATATCATTGCCATTTCTCCGTTATTTCGTATTGCCATCAATAATTTCTTCCCATTTTAAGCAAGTTTTATTCCGGGTATAAAATTGGAAATGTTGCGGATTTTGATTCACGCCTTTTATTTTAAGGATCGCGATCTCTAAAATTGGGGATAGCTCAAGGATTCACATCAATGCCCGAAAACCCTAAAATATCCTTAATCATAAATGAAACTTTGATAAAAAGGACCTCCCGGCCAATATATATATTGGGGTATTAGCATAAAAAAACGAAAATGGTGGAACGTGATAAGCTTAACATAGTAAAAAATTGCGAAAGTGTCGCAGCAACAAAGCATGATATGAGCTGTCCCTTGAGAAACTGAGTAAGAACATGGTGGACATCTTAGGCTATAATTTTTATTCTTCTTGCTGAGGGTCCACTCCTAAGGTCCAAAAAAAGAGATAAATATAAAACGATTTAACAGTGGAATGGGCAACCCTCTCAATAAGCTGTTGATCAAGTGTAGGATTTTGAAGAAGGAATGCCATCGGCAATCGAATTTTTAAGATTAGTCGAAAAAGATTCGACCCGACTAAACTCAACGCGCAATTCATTTAATTTTCGCCTCCCGAAAACAGTCCATCGATGATTAACTAGCTACATTAGCCGGGAAGAAAAAAAAAGAGAGAGGATAATATCATGGTTTTAGTCAACATTGATGAGTACGATGATAAGATGGCGTGGGTGACTAATAATCTAATAAAATTCTCAATAAAGCCAATCTTGACCTTAGGGTCACGTTGAATTTTGTACTATTCTTCGGGCTGGAGCGCATGCGTGATGTGATTTTAAAATGCTGAAAAGATCTAGATATTTTCGCTGCTCCTTCACAAATCTTCACATATCTTTTAAATTAATTAATATATTAATGATAAAAATAATTATTATTATTACTAAGACTGCTATGCCCCCCCACTGGCTGAATTATTCCGGGGAGAACAAAAGAAAATTAAAAATTAAAAAAAAATTGCACTGTTTTTGAACGTGGGTAAGTGTGGCTTGTCACGTTGGCTTTGTTCACACGAGGACGGACCGACCGGTTTCTTGTTAATCGCATAATCAAGTCAATAATTAAGCTCCCACTTGCTAAATTTTTGTCAGGACCAAAGAATCTGGGCTATAAAAAAATAAAGCCAAAAAATATAGAAAAATCATGAGATGGGACAAATGGGGTTTCTCGAGGACTTAAAAAAAAATTTCAGCTAATCACGTGTAAAAATAAAGAAATAAAGGAAATAAAAAGAGAGAAAGAAAATTAGTGGGAAGGTGATCTTGGGCCACGATGTGGGCTCAAGTCAATGGGCCTAACAGGCCCAAGCCCATTTCTGGAGAATGCCCATGACATCTTGCTTGGGATTCATTTGGGTCTAAGACGGGAAGAGTTTTGAGTTCTCAAGAAACGTAGCTAACGGAACTTAATTGAAACCAAGTCCCTTTAGATGCTGGTTGATAATTTTGTTAACATTAGCTATGATGTGAAAAATGGTGATTCGAACGAAAAATTAGTAGCTAGCATAAGAACATATGGCTGATGTGAGAGTAGATTAAGAATAAACGATCAAGTAATTGAAAAGTTTGCAGAATCACTAAACAATCGATGCCATAAGTTATGATTAGTGCACCCTTTGGACCGATTCGCCCGGTCTGTTCCACATATAATCTGAATAATTACACGATGTTGTGATCGTTTGGGGTGGATGAACTTCTGAATCACTCAGTTAGGCCTCTCCCAACAGATATGAGACTTGAGATGTCACGAATCTCTCCACTTAAAGAACCGACATTCTCGTTAGTGTCGAACCGCATCAGGGCAACCCTATTCATGCGTGGTACGGCTTGTTCCTGCCTCCTCCACCATATTAGAAGCATGCCAGGAGCTGCATCTCATCGGAGCTTCCTCGCCTCTCGTTGGATCGAGTACGGGACCGGTCCATCCGAGCTTCTTCTTTTTTTTTTTTCCTTTTTGTAAGTTGTCATGGAAGAGCTGAACTCCCCCAAAACCACCCCCTAATCTATTGATTCGTCACTTCCACGTTGGGGGATTCGAACCCAATGACAATCACGAGAGCCGAGCGCGACTGTACACACACGTGACTTGTGCTCGACCCACATCAAAAGTAGCAAATTTTATGAGAAAAAAAAAAATCAAATGAACATTATAATTACAATACAAAAAAGAAAAAGAAAAAAAAAGGGTACACGAGCGCAAAAATAAAAAATTTCATTATTATCCTGCGAAATCGTCATTGGATATGTCATTCCCGACCTTGGATTTGGATCTTTCCCCCATCGTATAAAGTCGTGCCCACGTGAGGCGTAGGGCGACCGGTCCTTGTCGGATTCGCACGCGATGGCTTGCCAAGAAAGCAAGCAAGGGTCGATGATGGCCCCCTTCTTCCTTCAATGCGGACGCATCCACGATCCATCCCCATCCCCATCCCCACCCACACGGGAAAGATTGCTGCGTGCCCGTGGCATGTGATAGGACCACAAAATTGTACGAATTTGGTCAAATTGTAGTTGCAAAAACTCGCAATGGCTCTTTGAGTGGTTCGCAAGCTAATCAATTCCCGACTTTGGGTTGATTAATTTATTGGGAGATTGCCAAAGTTTTGAGGAAAACCCACCTTTGGACGCAAGTGGGCAGAAAAGGGGAAAAGAGAAAGCGACCGAGTGGTCCAATTTCTTCTGGAAAAGAAAGGGGTTTATTACGCAAGCGCGTTCGACAGATTTTTGACGGGTGATTTGTGAAATGTCGGTTTCACCTGTTAATTTACGTCTCGAGCTTAAGCCGTGATGGTAGGGGAAAAAAAAGGGGTTCTCGGGTCTTCTTTTTACCTGTTCGCTGCCGTCCCGATCGGTGATTGATGCGTGGCGAGGCAATGAATGTAAAGCGAGATTTTGGGAAGAGGACATCGGGGACCATTTGGCGAAAGAAAGGGACGACGGATGGGGAATTGATAACTGAGTAATGTCTGAAATATCAAGGCTCGTGTATTGGATGGATTTATCGAAAGATGTGGCAGATAGCGAACGATTGTTTAAGTTGGGAGATTCATTTAAACACCAGACGAAAATCTATCGCGTTATTTAGTCGATCGTTTTAAAGGGTTAATATCACGAAAAATCTCAAACTTGTACATTTATGATAATTTTATCCCGAACTATTTTTTTGACCACAAAAAAATTCTAAACTGATATACCTGTGACAAATTTATCCCTAACTATTTTTTTGACCATAAAAAAATCCAAAATTGTACATCTGTGATAATTTTACCCCGAGCTAATTTTTTTACCACTAAAAATCATAAACTGGTACATTTGTAACAAATTTACCTTCCGTTAGTGTCCGTTAAATCGGATCAATATCACGAAAAATCACAGATTGGTAAACTTGTGACAAACAAAGGGGTAAAATCCTAAATCGGTACACCTGTCAACTACCACGTGTCATTAAACTTAGCAATTTGACAATAAAATTTGACAGAAATTAACGGAGGGTAAATTTGTCACAGATGTATCAGTTTGG